GGTTGTGAACTTTTGTTGCTCTCGATGAAGCTTTTGGCCTAATAGGTTTTCATGTTATGTCAATTCGAGCTTGTCGCGGCCAGCCTAGTTTGTAGGTAAATGCAAAAGGTGGACAATAGCGGGTAGAGGCGTAGGCCGGACCCCGGGGTAAGAGAGAGAATGAGGAGACAACGAATTGAATTAGAGATGTTATTGGAGGCTCTAAAAAGACGGTTGATGTGCCTTTCCTTTGGTGTTTGAACTTTGAACTACGTATGTATTGCCAAGTTTCAACAATTATGATCTACTTTAGTCATTCCAGTTTTCTGGTTATGCTTTTCTATATTATATTCCTAGAAACTGATTAGATTAGATTCATTACTGGAGGAATACTACATTGGCTCTGCTAGACATTGGCTATCTATATTGCCTCGAGGTTTTATTGCTTCTTTATATATATTATTACTCACTTTTTTTTTCGTGAGATAAAAAGCTAAGGAGCATTTTATTTCCCCATTACTGCTACAGTCAATAGTAAACAAGGGGAGTAGTCTTTTTCTTTCCATATCCATCTTTTAAAGGGCTGAAGAGTAGGGAGGATTCCTCTCAAAACATTTTTACCTCACTTACTCTTTGTCACCATCTTCTTGAGCCGATGGTCTTTCGAAAACAACCTCTCAACTTTCTTAGGGTAGGGGTAAGGTCTGCGTACATATTACCCTCCCCATACCCCACTAGTAAAATTTTACTGGGTCGTTGTTGTTGTTCCTCTTTGTCACGAGCTAAAATACCATCAAAATCGTGAGGACATCTAACTAAATCATTAGACAAACCAACATGCATAACTAATAAATCCATATACCATAAAGACAAACAATCTAAAATATAGGTAATATCATAACATAAATCTAAAACAGACAATACATAGGTGCGAAATATTAAATACAACATCCAAAAATTAATAGTACAAGTCATGAGCTCTACTAATTACAATACAACAATCTGCACATAATATCAATACTGTTTGAATGGATGCAACAGTAATAAGTAGATGAGGGTAGGTGACTCCAAGGAATTGTGGATCTAGCAAAGCAACTCACCATGAGTCTCCAATCAAGCTCCAAAAGTAGTCTTCTGAACTCCACTATGTTAGATGTAGATTTCAATGATGAAAAATAACATATTATTGTATGCAGGATCACGTGAGATGTAAAGAAGGATGCGAGCAAATTTATCAATGTTGTACGGACGAAGACAAGAAAGGAAGGAGTAAAGGAACCAAGTCAAAAGATCCGTCAACGAAAGCAAGAAAGGAAGGTTCAAGATTAAAGCAATGTGACAACCAGGATAATTGGGATAAAGAAGGAAGTACCAAGATTCACAGAGATCTGAACTAAAATTATGCCTACCCTGATTGCTGAAGATATGTGTCGAAAAGGAAGGCTATCAATCCCATAGATTAAGGAACAACTTAATGACCAATTATAGGGGATCCTCTTTCGAAGAAGGAAAAGACAAAGAGTCATGGACCATTTATGGAAGCTCCGTACTTATTCTTGGAATGAATCATAACAAATTCAATTCCAAGGATCAATTCCCTTGGGATCGCAAATCCCTCAACGATCTTCCAAAGATTCGTCAAGACAAGTGATGATAGGC